TTAGCGACCGCCGCGGCGGCGGCAGTGATCTAAATAGCTGCGGTTTCATCGATCTTCCGGCGGCGCATCGCGACGCGGTTTTCGCGAGATCTCCGATCGAGAATACCTGGACATGGTACCGTGCAAACCCGGTCGCACGACGTTGACGACAGCTTCTCCGCTGAGGACGGAGGTCTCGTCGTCGTTTCGAGCAGATCGATTCGCATCTCGCATCTCGCGCCGCGCCCGAGCTTGCGAGAGGAGAGCGTCGACGTCGACGTCGACGTGCTGGCAAACGATCGGTGCACTTTGACTCTCTCTCTCACTCTCTCTCTCTCTCTCTCTCTCTCTCGCTCTCTTTGGTCTTGTGTGCGCGACACGTCTCCCACGCATGTGCTGTAGCATGCCAGAGAAATAGAGAGAGAGAGAGAGAGAGAGAGAAAGTGAGAGAGAAAGTGAGGGAGTATAAGTGAGTGAATGAGTGAAAAAGTAAGAAAGTGAGAGAGAAGGGGAGAGTGAGAGAGCGAGACAGTATATGTGAGTGAGTGAATAAGTGAGAGTGAGAGAAAGTGAGAAAGTATAAGCGAGTGTGTGTGTGTGTGTGTGTGTGTGTGTGTGTGTGCGTGAGAGAGAGAGAGAGAGAGAGAGAGAGAGAGAGAGAGAGAGAGAATGATGGAGTATAAGCGAGGGTGTGTGTGTGAGAGAGAGAAAGAGAAAATGAGAGAGTATAAGCGAGGGTGTGTGTGTGAGAGAGAGAGAAAATGAGAGAGTATAAGTGAGTGAGTGAGTGAGTGAGTGAGTGGGTGAGTGAGTGAGTGAGTGAGTGAGAGAGAGAGAGAGAGAGAGAGAGAGACACACACAAAGAGAGAGAGAGAGAGAGAGAGAGAGAGAGAAACGCCTTTCGTTCCGACGTCGATGTCGACGATATGCTCCAATTATTTCAGCCACCACGCTCCACGGTGAACGTAACGAGCTGGGAACAATGTTAATGAGTCGACGCTTTCGCATTGCTCGCGTAAAACGATTTCCCGACGGCGGGGAGTGACCGAGCCGAGCTTTCGGGGCATCTGCAGCTCCTGGACCGGTCTTTGTCTGCACTTGACAAAGTTCCCGACTGCGGTCCGCATCGGAGAGTTTAGCGACGTTTCGATGGAGGTTTCCTTGTTTTAGCATCTAAGGAGTTTGTGTTGCTCGTTGATTAAATGTCTGCCTTAGACTTGAAGAAATTAATCGAATAGAAGCACTATATTGATTACCAACTTCTAAAGAATTTCTTAAGATCAGAGTAATTTAGTCATTGCACCTGAACGTGGAAAGTTTATCTTTAACGTGTAATTATTAGATTATGCATTTTATGCATTTATGGGAAAATTGGGTAATTACGATTTAAAACAGTGAAAAGATTGACAGCAATTTAAAATGTCAATGTATTGTTTTTAATTGGTTAAGATGGTTAAATGAGGGATGAACTTGCTACTTGATTTCTATTCGATGCAATTGACGCTGTCTGGTAATTGTAACTGTTTATTTATATATTTGCGATTTAAGAATTCTGGAAGACGAGTTTGTTCGAATATAAGAAAATACAAATTCATTTTTAACTAAATAACAAAGAACAGTTCTCACCAAGAAGTAATCTACTGTGTTTAACTGTGATCATTTTTATAATTTTATTTTATCAACTTTCGCAAATATATTTTTTAACGTATTAATCGTCAGAGAGATTAATTGACAGAAATAGCATAAATTGATATAAGGAATATTAATATTAATATTCCTCATTGAAACTTTCCAAGATCTTTAGGCGATTGAAAAAAATATATACTAATAATTGCGTTACGAATGATACAAAATTATTAAATTAAAGTATAAATAAAAAATACGAGGATCTACGTTATTTTTTAAGAAGCGTACATTTCAATATTTTTCATTGAAAACTTCGCGACATCTTCATCGCTCCAAATGTTTATATCTCGAACAATGACATTCTAAACAATAAATAGTTATTAAATTACGTAACAAGTGAGAAATGGTAATATTTATTGTGCAATTATTTTCAAAGCGTCCATCAGCTTCAAATAAAATTATCAACGTCTTTCCAAAAACCAATTAGCCAACAAAACGAAGTAGTCTCCCTGCGAAAAAGAAATCCAATTCTCAATACAGTAATGTCTCCCTAATTGACGCTCAGATTGTGCACAAAAATGGACAATTTGGGAAAAGGAGATACGTTTATTCGAGTCTTGTAGCTTGTTTTTATAGTTATTGACAATTCGTAATTATAAAAACGAGCTACAAGGCTCGAACAATCGTATCTCTTCTTCCAAAATTGACCATTTTTGTGGACAATCTGAGCGTCAATTAGAGAGACATTGCTGTACCACCCACAAAAATGTTTCTCCGATATCGTTATTGGTTCCGAAGTTCCATCGACGGTTCGCTAAACTTTCCGATCGCGATACCGGTCGTAGTTCACCGAGTTTGCCGGGACGCGGCGATCTGCTCCTTAAGAACGACGACGACTTCCGTTTCTAACGACTTGAACAAGCGAAATGATTCGTTCGATCGAATCGATTCTGGTACCGTAATCGTCGCCGGGTAGAAACTCGTCTCCCTGATCGGTGTGCCAGGACAGAACCTTCACGAAATCGGCGACGAAGGACGGCACGACGCACTTCAAAATGGCACTGTTCCCACGGATCGCGTACTCCTTGTTCACGTCTGTGTCGTAGTACTGCGCCACCACTGCGATATATCGTCGACGAGAAACCCGCGTTAAATCGTGATTCGCGAACGCAGCGAACGATACTCCCCAGCCTCTCGTCTGTGCCGCGAACGATTTTGCAAACACGTCGAACGCCGGTTTTTCGCGACGGCTTTTCGTTTCGATCGCGGCCGACGTTCGGGTCAACGTTGATACGCCTGCGAACCGTTCCGCGCGAAATCACACAGAATTTTCGTTACACTGGCTGAGTCATCCGACGTTTTCACCTAAAGTACGCGCGCGTTCTTTCTAATCACGTGTATTCGGTTATACTACCGACGAGAGAATCTTTTCGAATTTTTTAATTCGACGAGAAATTTCTAAAAAAATTGTTAATCCCACGAGAACATTTTTTCGAATTTTTTAATCCGACGAGAAGATTTTTTCGAATTTTTTAATCCGACGAGAAGATTTTTTCGAATTTTTTAATTCGACCAGAAAATCTTTTCGAATTTTTTAATCCAACGAAAGAATTTTTTTCGAAGTTTTTATTTCGACGAGAAATTTCTAAACAAATTTTTAATCCCACGAGAACATTTTTTTGAATTTTTTAATTCGACGAGAGAATTTCTCCAAATTTTTTAATCCGACGAGAAGATTTTGTCGAATTTTCTAATCCGACAAGACAATTTTTTAATTCAACAAGGAAATTCTAAAAAAAATTTTAATCCCACGAGAACATTTTTTCGAATTTTTTAATCCGACCAGAAAATTTTTTCGGACTGTTCAATCCGACAAGGGAATTTTTTCGAATTTTTTAATCCGACCATTAAATTCAAATACTGAAATTAAAATTTGTTAAATTGAATTTAATATATGAATGTGAATTAAAAATTGAACATCTTCCAACAGTAATATCCACAACCCCATTGTACAATTATCTAAAAGTTTCCTCACTTGAAATCATGTCAACCACTTGACCTAATCCCGACCATAATCTTCCGTAAATTAATTCCGAGAAACACCAAATAAATTGTATCGATTTTGCTAGCATTTCGACATCAGTCAACGATTCTGTGCGACAAATTGTGCGGAATGGTTCGTGTACGGACTATAATCGACATTTCGGGACCGCCGTCGATATCCTCGCGAGATTATTAACCGACAAGTATATTCCAATTGTGTGCAGGTATCGGATCGCGGAGCACGTGTAGCATTACAAACGACAGAGGCTGGAGAGCGATAAATATTGTCGTAAACAACGGCGGCGGCGGCAGCGATTACACGTAATTCTAGTCCGACACCTACAGTTCGTGGAACCGTGATAATTGCCACCGACGATTGTGCGATAGCTGGACGTATCGCGAAATTCGAAATACTGGCCCAAAGTCGACGGCTTAAATCAGCTGTTGAACGATCGAAGTTGCTGAAAAGAAGATGCGTTAGTTCGCCGCGCCTGGCCGATATTCGAACGCCTTGCCACCGTTATTGTTTAACCCAAGTCACGAAATGTTGTCATACTTGAACAATTTCTCTACGTAAATACATCTTAAAAACATCTTTAACCGAAATATTTTGCAAATATAGCAAAAATAGTCACGCCAAGACTATATTGGTAACAATAAGATTAAACTGAAAATTTGAAGTGCTTTCTATTCCTGTAACATTTCAAGAATGAAAACATGCGACTTTTAGGCCTAATCTTAATCCTAATTGAATATTTTTGATTTCTCAAAAGACTTAACATTTTCTAAGATCTGAAATATTTTAATTATTAAGTATTAAATATTGAATAGTTTAAATTTCGATTTTGGCAAGAGGTCCAGTTTAATTCGTCCACTTCGAAAGAACATTTCGTTATCGAAAGAGAATCTTTCTGTTTTGTTAGAAATATTTAATTTATTATTCTCAGTAGCATATACTTTCATTCGAAGACCAATTGGACAACGAAAAATTATTTCATCCGTAAAATTGATCTTAAAATATCTTTCATTGTTCCTAGATATATGCGATCGTTTATAATTTGTTATAAATCGTCGATATGAAAATCTATTTGTTATAAAAAGATCTCCAAAATGCTTGAAAACACACAACTTTAGGAAAACGTCGAAAACGTTTGCTTTTAAAAATATTATAAACATTTAACCTCATTGTCTGACAACGGCAAGACGTTCAATCGCTATTGCAAATCGCTGTCGAAACACAATCGCGTGTGCTTCGGCTCGTTATCTCGTTCGAAAAATAAGTGACAGCTGGCCAGGCGACAGCGAGCGGCTCCCGTGTGATTTTGGAATGCAAGTAAGAGGATAACACCTACCGGCTCTCACGTTAACGTCTCGGCTGTGAACTGAACCCGCTGGTGATCGCGCCAAACAGCTGTAAACCTGAGCATGAACCTCCTGACGGTAATCTTCGGCGCGGAAAGGTGGGAAGACCAAGTTTCCATTCGGTAAAACCTGCGCAGACAAATTTTTATTGAAAAGAAGCATTCGAATTCGCCATTCATTAAAACATACAGAAACATACTGAGACATGCTAACAACACTTTGGATCAGTTCGATCGAATTTCATGTGCAAGGGTTGAACAGCGAACACAATTACGAAATGTACGGTACGATTTAGAAATTGCAAAACTGATTGATCGAATTTTCTACGAATCTGCGAATAAAGCATTTAATGAACAGTTGAAATGTCGATTCGATACAGTGAATTAATTTATGACCAAATAAACGAAGTCCAAGTAAATTAATTTAATATCAATATCAATATCAATAATAATAATTTAATATCCTCAACAGAATCAGATCGTTTTTGTTTCTCTTGTATGTCTTAATTTATTTTCAGACTTTGTTAACAGAAAAATCAATTTGTATTTCGACCTGGAAAAAATGACATTAGTTAAGTTAGTTAAAAATTAATTAAAATCCTATTCAGACACAAATATTGTATATCCAATGTACATACAATTAATTCTACATTATTATCATTTTATTAACGATAATGATCTGCTTGGACGCAAACTATAAATATTGTTATTCGACCATTAATTTTGATCGATTACTTGACAATTAATGTTAAATTTCACATGCCTCGGTCTACAGAAAAAAAAACCAAGAGATCTGGAGGAAGTGGTTGAAAGAAATCTGACGACAAAAATTTAGAAATAAAATTGCTGAATAATCCTATAATGTAACTCGGTCATATTTTTGCGAACGAGGTACGTCGTTCGAGTGTTAAGCGACAATTAATCCGGCCTTCCTCGTTAACCGAATCACTGACGTAAGATCGTTAATGCACCGCTAAGTAAACGACCCGTGGGTGTCGAACAGTTCTCGATAGTGGGAAGTGAATTAACGACAATCAGTCGTCCGGTTGCGAGAAAAAGGAAGTCCAATCTGGAATCCGCGACGATCGGTATTTCATTTCTTTCGCGGCGTAGGTGCTTCATGACGAGTTACGATCGGATACTCCGATCTTCCCCCTTTGCATGCGCGCGAACGCGAGTGGGTGCCGCGTGCAGCGCTTCTCAATGAGCCGCATTGTTACCACCGTCGATGATCGTACGAAGGTTCGATTTATTGAGGCGCAAATTTACTCATGTCACGACGACTAATTCTCGCAATTGTTTCGACTGAGAGATTTTATGCTTTGTCCGACTTCACGCAGATGAATCTGCCAGCGTTGAAAATGTGCCTTCATTGGAGTAATTAACGCTGTTTTTGTGTAGCGAGGCAGCCAATTGCGTGCACAGCGATGTGTACGTTAATATTCGATTATTATTTAATGTCATTTTTACTGATACTTCGTGGTCAAGTATTTTTACCAAAATTTTATCGTTATTGCAGAAAGGTGACTAAGCATAGAAATTAATTGTAAATTATAATTTTAAAGTGCCTTTTAGCCTTTTCGGTGATAATGGGATTGAATTAGAATTTTAGGTGTTTTTGAACACTTCTGGTCATGGTAGCGTTAAGTTAACATTTTAAAAAGTTTGTTTTGACGCTTTTGGTAAAAATATTGTAGAATTCAAATCTTGAGAAGTTTCTTCGGTGAAAATGTCCAATTAAAATTTTAGAAGGTATCTTCCGACCCTTTTGGTAGAAATATTGTTCAATTAATCAATTAGTCAAGTTAAACATTTTAACAGGTAAAAGTCGTTCCTCTTTAGGAGAAACACTATTAAATAGAAATCAATCTGACGACCTCTTTGACAAAAATAGCGATGAATTAATATTTCAAAAGGTCTCTTTCGACCACTTTGGTAAAAATAGTGATAATATTAATATATTAGAAGGTCCCTGGACCCTCTTGGTAAGATTGTTATTAAATTAATATTTTAAAAGGTCTCCTTCGACGATTTAGGTAAACATAGTATGAAATAAAAATCGTTAAAAGGTGTCTTTCGACCTCATTACAAAAATAGTATTAAATAAAAATCATTAAAAGTCGTCTTTCCACCCCATGATAAATATAGCATTAAATAAAAGTAATTAAAAGTCGTCTTTCCACCCCGTGATAAAAATAGTATTGAGTAAAAATCGTTAAAAGTTGTCTTTCCACCCCACTATTAAAATAGCATTAAATAAAAATAATTAAAAATCGTCTTACCACCCCATGATAAAAATAGTATTAAACAAAAACAATTAAAAGTCGTCTTTCCAATTTAACCCCATGATAAAAGTAGTATTAAACAAAAATAATTAAAAATCGTCTTTCTACCCCATGATAAAAATAGTATTAAGTAAAAATAATTAAAAATCGACTTAACACCCCATGATAAAAATACTAACAAATAAAAATAATTAAAAATCGTCCTTCCACTCTATGTTAAAAATAACATTAAGTAAAAATCATTAAAAAGTGTCTTTCGATTCCATGATAAAAATACAATCAAACAAAAATCATTAAAAATCGTCCATCCACCCCATGATAAAAATACTATTAAATAAAAATCATTAAAAGTCGTCCATCCCCACCCCGTCGGTGAAAATAGTATAAAAATCCTTCACCCCGTCTCAACAATCCCTCCGCCGGCAAGCTCGTCAAACTAGAAAAACGAATACATACCTGTCGGAGTCCCGGAACGTCGCCCACAGCACTTCCGTCGGCGCGAACCCAAATAATATCCGGTTGGGGGTTTCCTCTAGCCTGGCATTCGACGACAGCACCGGTTCCGTTGGAGAAGTCAACACGATTTGGGGGTTCCTTAACAAACACGGGTCCCATAGAATCGTCGTCAGCCATAGCCACTATGAACAAAGAAGGGGAAGGGAGAAAAATTAGTCGGCTGATCGAGCATGTGTTTATCGTGTTTATCGCCTCGGTAACCTCGTTAAAGGAACCAAACGAAAGCAGCACACGCTAAGAGATTAATTAGTCCGAAACCGGTGTAACGGCGACGTAACTTCAGTTGCGTGTCTTTCGTTTTCGTTGGTCGGGCGTCTTCCCCAGGATACGCGACGCCCACGCTCAATTGGCGCGTCGCCAATTGCAGCAAACAACAGGTTGCCGGTCCGCTATTGAATAATATGCTATCAACGTCACGTGACCATAAGGGAGACGGTGACACGCGTGATTTGTTTTCCGTCACCGGCATCCGCGATCTCTTCTCTCGCTGGATCACACCGGCGCAACCATCCGTTCGTCTGTCGATCCGAGAAATCGTTATCGCGATCGAACAGACCCTCGCGGTAAAAAAGCTCGTTGACTCCGACCGTTATTTAATTTTTACTTTAGCGGAAAATGTAAATTAAATTTGGTGTAAGTACACTTCCTTGGATGGCCTTTAAAAATACATATTACTAATTTTATATTAATAATTATTAATATAGTTATTATATTTATATTATATACATAATATAATTAATTATATATATTATATGTATAATATATATAATATAATTATATATATTTTATATATGTATAATATATATTATATTAATTATTAACAATTACAATTACTAATCCATAATTATATTAATAATTTAATATTAATCATTTCTATCTTAACGCTATCTAGCTTCTGATCATTTAATTTTTGATAATTAATTGAAATTTCCACATGCTTCATTAACGTCTGCAGAAAAACTGATCTGTCTAGAAGGAGTATCTTCTAAAAGATATTGCAAAAGATTAATAAATAATTATTAGCACTAATAGCTTGAAAATAATGTAACGACGTTCCTAATGTTTTTCAATCCTTTGCAATCGAATGGCGTCTCTGAGGTGCTACTAAAAATTGTTACGTTTTAAAATAATTTTGACACTATCGAACTTTTTATAATCTATCAAACTGTTAAAAGTGCAAGTTTCGCAGGCGCTAATAGCTTGAATTTTCAAATTTCACGTTATACTTCAAATTAAAATAGCTTCGAGCGCAAAGGGTTGATCTTCTCATTGCTTCGTGCTTCGTCGACAAACATCTGAGCAATAATAATAATAATAATAATCTGTTCGTCTTGTTCTTCATGTCGTGTTACAAATGAACACCTTGTAGGTGCGGTATAAGTCCTCCAGCAATACGCTGGCTCGCACAAATTGTTTGAAGCATTTCCATTCCGCTAATAGAACGTTCTCCAACAAACACTACAAATGCGTTCCGCTGCGCTCGCCGTCGCCAGTACTTTCCGTGTTTAAACGCATATAAAGGACGGGTGCCGCGAGTTTCCAACTCTTCGCTCGCCATCTTTAACCTTAAGTACTTGGTCGACAAAATATGAGAGCAAATACGAGATACGAGGAGCCGTACACCAACTGAATACATAAAGCCGTTTCCACTGATACCAACTTTTCGCATTAGATTTGCAAAGTATACTGCGGGTGATTCCGTTTAAATTCATCGTTGACAGGAAAATGAACGAAGTTCCTGTAACACCTAACGGGGTAACTCATTTTCGTGCGAGATGAATGTAAACGATGTTAGCACTTATTATGAAATCACTCATATATCTTATTCGATAAAACCCGTTATTATGGTAATAATTGTCAATGAAATTAATGCATATTATATTGATACAATGTATGTTCCTTGTTTCTCAAATAGATTTAAAATCGGTTCAAGTATGTACGATAAATTCTCCCTAATTGAAACAAGACTGGATAATTATTATACAATTATTATCTGACAATTATTATACAATTATTATGTGACAATTGTTGTACAAATTATTATATAACAATTATTATACAATTATTATACAATTATTATAAAATTATTATATAACAATTACTATACAATTATTATATAACAATTACTATACAATTATTATACAATTATTATGTGACAATTATTGTACAAATTATTATATAATAATTATTATACAATTATTATATAACAATTATTATATAATTATTATATGACAATTATTATACAATTATTATGTGGAAAAAATGGATAACGATTATTTGAGCCTCGCGACTGGTTTTTATATTTTATATTTATTTATATTATATACATTATTTACTGTATGTGCAGAGTTGGCACTGACACGTTTCCGCACATGTTTAATAAAACTTGAACGGATTAATTAAGGTAAATGGATTAAGGTAAAACTTTATGGATAGCGAAACGACCTCAAGGATCATTGCCATATTATTTTTTAAATTTATCTTCGCTCGCGATGGTAATTAACCTATTTGCGGACGAAAAAGGTATTTCTAGTTTACTCTTTCTGATTAACTAAATTGCTCCTATTCTCTCTGGAAATTCACTGTTTACTCTAGAAACGAACTATTTCCTGCACGAAACCAAATTATATACTTAACAATTAAATATAAAAATTGCAGAAAGGAAAAAATGTTGTGCTCAGTTCCGTGATATTACTTGAATATAATTATTTTATATGCATTAAAGCATTGTAATATTTTATTCAAGTATATAATAATAACTTCGAGTAGATCCAGTTTTAGACTTTTTAAACAATACAATTCACCAAAAATTCCTTCAATAGTGTAAAAACTGCAGAATTAAAACTTCGTTCAGGAATATTGTTACCTCTGTTTGAATCATTTTCCGTGTAAACAATTTTTAGAAAAACGTTTCTTTAGAGAGAAGTTCTTATTTTATTTCGTTCTTCTATACGACAATAAAAAAAATAAGATTGTTTAAACTCTTTACAATAAAATTGTGTATATTATTTCAATAATTATAATATTCTAATAATTGTATATATTATATATAAAATACAATAAAATTGTGTATTTTTACATCAATCAATAGAATTACCTATTCGAACTATCAAATCGTACAAATTGCTTGTCCCTCGACGAATTCGCATAAACGGAGTTTCACTGTATCATTATCAGTAGCAATTTTCAGTGGCGCCTCAGAGTCGCCACTCGAGTGCAAAGGGTTAATAACACGGGTCTCGAGAAAATCGGCATCGGCGATGGGTTCCCGCGGGCCCGATCGGTGCCGTTCAGAGCGTGATTTATTCTTAGGCCAGTATGCACTCGGTTTACGCGTGTTTACGATTATACAAGAGCTCATTGTGCCACTTTCTTCCCGCGTAACCGCATGCCGGCTTAACCGCGCCGGGAACGGATAAGCTCGGCCACGGGCCGTCGTAAAATCGAGTTACGAAGAGAACCGGTTCGCGAACCCAACAGTACACGCTCGCGGACCGGCAACGTGAGCGACGGAAGGTGCGCTCAGGTACCGGCGAACAGGTGTTCCGAAACATTTGTCGCACCGGGATTCGAGTCTGCGCACTGATTGTCCTTGCAAACGCGTCGTTTTCGTCCTTGCAATCGCGCGAATTCGACCGCGACGACGTGTTATGATCCACGGATAGACAACGGATTCGTACGCAAAATGAAAATTGTATTAATTAATTTCAGAATACAGACGCTACATAGACGTTTATTTATGAATTTATTTATTTCGCGAATTATGTTATCGAGTTGGAAATGATACAACAGTAATTTTAATACTAGAAGCTATATCTGTCTCTTATACACATCTAGATGTGTATAAGAGACAGATATAGCTTCTAGTATTAAAATTACTGTTGTATCATTTCCAACTCGATAACATAATTCGCGAAATAAATAAATTAATAAATAAATGTCTATATCTGTCTCTTATACACATCTAGATGTGTATAAGAGACAGATATAGCTTCTAGTATTAAAATTACTGTTGTATCATTTCCAACTCGATAACATAATTCGCGAAATAAATAAATTAATAAATAAATGTCTATATCTGTCTCTTATACACATCTAGATGTGTATAAGAGACAGATATAGACATTTATTTATTAATTTATTTATTTCGCGAATTATGTTATCGAGTTGGAAATGATACAACAGTAATTTTAATACTAGAAGCTATATAGACATTTATTTATTAATTTATTTATTTCGCGAATTATGTTATCGAGTTGGAAATGATACAACAGTAATTTTAATACTAGAAGCTATATAGACATTTATTTATTAATTTATTTATTTCGCGAATTATGTTATCGAGTTGGAAATGATGCAACGGTAATTTTAATACTAGAACTACCGCGCCCTAAACGTGACTAATGCTAATTGTTTTATAACAATGACAAGATTGGATTTGTTTGAACTTTCTACGATTTTTATTGCGATATATGCTCGCATGAAGAAGTTCATGTGAAAATTGTTGACGAAAACATTTTCACAGTATCAAGAATTGTAAAAAAAAGAAACCAGGAACTAGTCGTTTTGATTGGTTTGTTAGTTCTAGTGTTAATTCTTTAAATTGTTTTATTCTGTTGCATTTTTGACCTACTCTTTTTGGCATAAATCCGTCTAATCTGCATTCTACTTTTATAACTGTTAGTAATATTTTTACGATACAGTTTTTAGTATTTAGTATTTTAGTACAGTAACGTACACTGTACTAATTGCAATAATTTTTCAGGTCAAAGGTATTCAGACAACAAGCGACTCTGAGATTGCATAAAATACACAGTGCATACTGTAAGTAACGTATACCATTTGTTACCTGAATACTCTTCAAAAAATGATTTATTTGTGACGCTGAGTCAACAGAAAAATGTGCGGAAAATATAAAATCTACAAATATTCAAGACAGTTCTGTAAATCCGAAAACCTCTATGTGCAAGAATTGAAGAAATAAATGCCACTAAATGTATACAAATCGCTGTACAAATTAACAAAGCTAAAATTTGCAACAGTAATTAAGTGACTGTATACTTTCTGTATGCTAACTTCAAACAAAACTACTCGGTCCAACATCCAAAAAATATCCAAGTGC